GGCTATTATCAGTAATTGGAATGACGGTGAGTGGGTCTCTAAACTCAAGAGGGCACACTTGGGTGAATATCTGACAACATAGTAAGAAAACACAGGGCATAGTTTTTGCAATCTCATAATTAGGAAAAGTGAATAAAAAGAAGGATGAGTTAATACCTTGTTTCTGGTTTAGTTCCCTAGATGCATAGCAGTTCAGTGTACCAAGATAATACACTGGTTAACAACTTTGATTTTATACTGCTCTATTTTTCATACAAAGCGGAAAGGGAAATGTGAGATAGACTAGAATTAGGAGCAACTAAAAAATACTGCTGGTAGTGAAAACCATGGTACATTAATTTGGCTGGAGAACGTACATATTAGAATGAGAAACAAAGGAACCGTGGGTAAAACCTAAGGAAGCATCAATGTGTTTCATAAAGGAAGGGAACAAAACTAAATGCAAATGAATGGAACTGAGAAGTGTGAACCCAACAGAGAAGTGAATGTCAGATGGTGAGGTACATCAGGGGGCTATGAATCAAGTGAAAGAAAGGGGAGAAAAATTTTTAAAAAGCCTAACACATTTCTAATAAAACAAAGACTAGGACTTTTTTAAGTCCAGAACGAGCTAGGGTAACACCGTATAGTTCAGGCTGGCCTTGAATTCTCCAGTCTCCTGCCCCAAGCCCCCAGGGAGAGGTGAGACTACAGCACTGCCTGGTTATCACTCTGATTTCTAACACAAATGTTACTGCAGCTCTCTCGCAATATTCCTAAGTGAGATTTTTTTGAGGAAATTTACCTTTAATATCTTTAGAATTTTGTTGGATGTTACCTTGTTTTTTTAAATTTCACTAATATTATCATTAGAGAATGTTTTACTATAAAGTAGGGAATTTAATGAGGGAAGGAGCTAGTGTATCTTCTTCATGCATTCCCATTACTTTGAATTGTTTCTGGTTTAAAATGATTGCATAACTAATATTTTTAATAAACCAACCATCTAAAATGTTATTAATTGACAATATTTATGGATAAGCTATATTTGGCCATTAATTCATATTATTTTGCATAATATTTACAAACTAAAAATAAACACATTTTCATTCTTTAATTTCAGTACATAACTCAAATTGTCCTAAATTATTTGAATTTTAAAAAATTAAATGTTATATTTAATGCTAACGACTAAGTATTAATGTAACTTCTTTCCAGTTTTGTTTGAGCAAGAGATACAAACTGGCCCATAAAACGTAAATTAAACATTTTGATCTTTGAATTCAATTTGAGATATTGAATTTTAAATTTAGTTGCCATTAGGGTATATATTTTAGTAATGCTCTGGGAATGAAACCATCAAAAATGATAATAAAGAGAATATTTCAAGATTGAAAATAATATAGTTACTATTGTAGTTCATCTATGATCCGGAATGACTGTACAATCCACAATAATGGTATATTAGATAAAACTTAGTAAAACATACATGAAACATCAAGACCCACACCAAAGAGTCAAATCTGAAGTGTAAATACATAGTAGTTGTTCTTTTGTTGTTTTTTCATTTCTTTTTCAAATACTCTTTGACAATAAAACGTGAAAGGTCAGTCTGCCAATCAAAGATAGGTATATATTACCAAAAAAAGTGACTACTCTAAAACAAATTCAAAGAAATTCAATCACCTCCTGTCTCCACCAAAAAATAAAAAAGAAAAGAAGCACTTAGAAACTTATAAATGGTTTCATCTCTTCAACATTAGAAAAAAATAATAGAAATATTTCCTGATTCTAATATATTATTTTTAACTTGTAAAAACTCTAGAAGTTCTATCCAAGAATATGTCTATCCTCATGATACTAAGTTTTCAGAGGAAAGCATATACAAAGTTCATCTTCTTCTAAAACTTCAATGCTATTTCAATGAAAGTATACAATGTATAGCATTTGAAATTTTATTGTTTGTAAATATCACCTGCTAGCATCAACATAATAACCTCTCTTTTCTTTTCTGATACCATTTTCTCCACAACAGGTTTCCATGACAACGTATATTTGAATTTTTACAAATTTCTGAATTTGAGTGCTAGTCTTAAGGCTAAGAACTCATAAGTATGAAATATAAATTTTTTAAAGAAATCAACTTGAACAATTTAGATACCTCAAATATGTACTTACATCACAAAATTAAAAACCATAGATCAGGGGGCATTCGAACCAACAAAGGATAAAAATGCAGTTATAAGACTCAAATAACAAGCTCTTAGCACTAACACGTTAGGTCTTAAAGTTAGAAATAATATACTTGCACTTAATAATTGTGTCAATCTCATCAACATTGGGAAAGGGTAAAAAAGTGAAGAACCACAAATAACTTAAAAAAAATTCAGACAGTTAAAAGTGTGCATTCAAGTACTGCATTAAAATATAAGCTAACATTAAAAAGGGTTTATGAAAGTATAACTTATATAGGGAATGAGACTCGTAGCACTAAGAACACAGCTGAAGCAAATCATTGGGAACTTATTTCTGTTTCTTATACTCATAACCATACAAAGCATAGCTTCATCTGTGATCTCCCAGTGGAATTCTATTTATTGAAGTAATCAAGTAATACTAAGTCAGCCAATTGTCTGAACTGAAAGTTTTTATATAAAAATATCAATTCACTTTTAAATAAACCATGTCTTCTGATTTAGGCAACCCATAGTAACTTGCAGAGTGATTTCCCTAAAGAAAGCACATTATTAAATTCTGACTGGTCAACAAAAAAGGAAGCATAAACAGGAGTCATTTTAAGAAATCAAACCTTATGTTTTTATTCTATTGCAAAAGGTAAAAATTCCACCAGCCCATACCCTAAAATATGTATATTTTAAAAAGTCATAAATGACCTTTTGAAATTAGAACTCCAGTGAATGTCTTAATTAGGCATTAAATCTCAAAAGCAACATGATCTGCAGAGATTTCACATCCAATCAATTATAATCAGTGGTTTTGGTGGAAAGGTCTGGAAAAGAGTGTCGTGAGACCTCTGGAATAATTTTGGCTCTACTCTTCACTTTATGTCTGACCTTGGCCATCACTTATCATCTGAGTGTTCATTTTGCTCATTACGAAATACAAGGTCTTGACTAGGTTTTTATGGACCATGGTTCCTGTTTATGCTTCCACTTGTTCTTTGACCTTGTGTTAATCTCCAGTCTATGTTCTTCTCTCACCTAAAATAAAGGCATGCCAAATCCTGAAAATAATGACAATTAAATCTAGATAAGATTTAACGCAAAAACAACTTTAAAGTCAATGATCTTCTCTTTGGGTCAATAATCAGTAGAATCAAATTCCATGCGATGATAAAAGTTAAACTATCATAAATACTTTGCTGTATAACCTAGGTCACAATAAAATTTAACGTAAAACATAAAAATATCATGGAACGTTATCATAAGCAAATATAACATACAGTTTGTCTTTTTTGTAGCAAACAATCTGAAAAAATAATCACTTATGTGATAAACCTGAAAACAGATCTAGATAATCTTTTTAAGTATCAAGTGGAAAAAGCACCAGAGCACTCAGCTGGAAACCAAAAAACGCAGATGTAATGATCATGAGACTATGACTTAACTTCAATAAATGCACTTTTTTTCTGAATGCAAACTTGTTGGACTTACAGGATGATTTTTAAAGAAACACTCCAAACTTGAAGTCATTGGTTCTATTTTTAAATATATAAATGTGGACATGCTAGAATTTACACACATTCAAAAATGCCAGATCGAAGAAAGCTGCAAGGTTGCCTCATCTACTTCTCACTGAAAACAAAACGTATTTCCAGCCTCCAAAGTGGTATCAGGTGCAGCACATCTGCTGACCAGTTAGTAGTAGACAGCCAACTGCATAATATCTAAGAGGCAAGGATTTCTGACACTCCCAAAAAGGACAGTAATAAGGACAGATCCAAAGTAAAGGGGAAAGAATTTACATTTTGCCCGTTGTGGTGTCTCTTCTGGGTGACAGAGCTAACCAGACACATGCAGTCACAAAATTGCTTACTAAATACAGTACTTGGCTCTCATACATAATTAAAAACCATCCTCACACGGTATAATTTTTTTGTTATTTGTATTTCTTGTAGACTGAATAAAGCATTGTTGGTTACTTTTACAGTGCCTTCATGGAATCCTGAAAAATTAATGGGAAGTGTCAGGGCCTAAATTTAAGCAGTCAGATAGGCTAGGAACCGAAATGAAAAACAGGCTGGGATCACAGCAAAAAAAAAGTAAAATTAAAAGTTTGCTATTCACTAAATTACTCAGATTTGGAGAACATGGAGCAGCAATGTGATTAATTCAAGCTCACCCTGTAAGGAGCACAGATCCAGCCCTAGAGGAAAGGCAGCACCTGGAACTGTCAGGGTGCAGGGGGGCTCTGAGAGGTCAGCAAAGTGAGGCAAGTACCCACTTGCAGCAACCCCAGTACCCACTCTTCTCCCTCAGCAGGAGACAGGCCACACCGCATGCTGTTCACAAAGGGAACCCCTGACACAGCCCCTGCCCACGCGTACTCCATTTCCCCTTCTTGTGTCCTCTGATTGGAACCCTAATTGGAGCCACTGCCTGGGTGAGCCAGCAGTGAAAGAGTCCCGATCTCAACGCAAATGTCACATCGGGGAAGAGGCATCCAAACTGAAGGAAAAAGTTAGAACATAACAAGTAAGGAAAAAAGATGAAAATGAAGATGATACCGGTCTCAGGACAAGGTCCCACACTTACGCAGAGAAGTGGACATTTGCTCTTTAGGTCCCATCTGCCAAAGGGAATCGGTGTGAGGTGGAAGGTGAGAGTATGGGGGCCCGGACCAGGGTTTACCCTGCCCCAGATGAACCTGGAAACTCATCTTTAGGGAGCATGTGCTGTCTCCTCTCCCCTGCACCCCAGGAGCCCTTGGCGGCCAAGAACCGGTTGGACAGGGACCCGGGGGGAGTCGGAGCGGCAGGGAAGGGTGGATTCCGGCCTTACCCTGGCGGCTCTGGACGAGTAGGGGTCCTCGAAGAGGGCCCACATGCGGGGCTGCAGCCTCCTCCAGCGCCCGGACTTGCCGTCGGGGCCCCCCAGCCCCGCCGCGTCCTCGATGCCCAGCCGCTTGGCCGCCAGCTCCTCGTCGTCCGCAGGCTCGCCGCCCGCGATCAGGTCGGGGGTCTCGAAGATGTCCAGCGCCTCCTCGGCGTCGCGGTGCTGCCGGTAGGTCATCCAGCAGCAGGGCTCCACGTCGGTCTCGTCGATGCCCCAGAAGGCCAGCTCCTCCTCGAAGAGCGGCCCGCACACGTCGGCGGGGCAGTGCAGCTTGCCGGTGCGGTAGTAGTTGAGCACGTAGGCGAAGACGCCCGGGTGCCGGTCGAAGAAGAACTCGCGGCCGCCGCCGGGGTGGGAGCTGCAGTTCCCCGCGCCGCCCTCGAAGCAGCCGCCGGGGCCGGGGGACGGCGGGGGCGGCCGCGGCGGGGGAGACCGCGGCGGGGGCGGCAGGGGCTGCAGCTTGTCCCCCGCCGCGGTCAGGCCGTCGCCCTGGGGCTCCGAGGCGGCCAGCAGGGCCAGGCGCGTTCCGGGCAGGGTCCTGAGCGTGCTGCGGTAGGTCTCGTGCCGGGTGCCCCCGACGTTGAGGATCACCCTCTCGTTGTTCTCGATCTTGCCCATCTCTGTGGCTCAGACATGACTAAGGGGAAGGCGAACACGGCGCCAAGTTAAGGAGCTCGGTCGTGACCCCCGCCCCCACCCCGACAGTCCCCAGACGGGCAGGGGGCCAGGGACCCTCCCAGGAGGTCAGCGTCCAGCCCCGATCGCGCCTGGGCATCACGCCTTCCCAGGTGCCCAGAGCATCCAAAGGCAGCGCGAGTCCTCCCTGACCCTCACACCTTCTCCCTTTGCTCTGATCTCTCCTCCTGTGTCTTTTCACCCTTCACCGTCCCTCCTGACCCCTCGAAGTGCATAACCTGCTCTCAGCCCCTTGGTCCTCCCATCAGCCCCAATCCTCTATCTCTCCCTCCTACACCCTCGGCATCCCCTTTCTGACCCCACCTGTCCCTCACCCGTCTCTTCCACTATCCTAGACCCTTTCTGATCCCTCCCCTAGCCTGGATGCAATTCCTTCAGGCAGGGGGTTCAGCCCCTAAGGCCGCTTGGCAGAGCTGGCTGAGGGTCCCCGGACCCAGCGGAGAGCCCCTGGGAGGCACGCGTACCCTTGGCCAAGCCCGGACTGCGCTCCGCTCCCTGGCACTCCGGGAGTGCCCTTTGCGCGACCTGTTCTCGGTTCACCTCTCCTCTCCCTCACTGACCCGACAAAAAGGCTGAAGTCAGAGAAAAGAAAAGGGGGAAAAAAAAAAATCCCGGCTCTTGCCTTTCACCAAGGAGACCTCTGACTAATTTCCTCATCCAATTTCCTTTTCACATTACTGTTATTGTTGTTGTTAGTGTTATTATTACTTGGGAAAGGAAACGACTCACTAGGATCCATCTTTGAGCACAGAAGTGAGCAATGCATCCCACCCATCCCCCTCCCCAAGAAAAACAGAGGTCCAGGGGAAGGGGGCGCTTTCCAGGAGGGGCGAAGCCAGGCACACCCCCTGCCCGGGCGCAGTCCTGGCTCTCGGCCTCCCGCCGCCCCTCCCTGGGCTTCACCTCTGCATCCCGATGGCCCAGAGGCTGGGGTTCGCGCGCCCGCAGGGTCAGCTCGTCCTTCCCAGGAAATCCCCCCGTCCCCGCCTCGCCCCAGATACCTTAAGGAGCCCGGGAGCAGAGCGGTTCTGCTTTGGTTTCCGAGGGGGCGCAGCTGGACGGAGCCGCCCTCCACCGACGAGAAACTACTTGTTGGCGTTTTCGGGGTTCAGGTGGTTGCGCCGCTTTCCCGGGCGCTGATGTCGGGGACTCGGCCCCCGCCCGCCGGCCGCGCTCCCCGCCTTCATTCTGCGATCTGCGGGTTCGCGCGTCGCCAGCCTCGGCGCCCCGAGTCACCATCGCGCAGGGCCGGGCGCACCATGGAGCTCGGGGCGGGTCCAGCCGGCGCTGCCCGAGCCCGCCGGGGGCGCACAGCTCGGCGCCGCGGCTGCACCGAGCTGCCGGAGGTCAGGAGAGCTCGCCCCCTTGCGAGGCGCGGTCGCCCGGCTGCGCTCTGGGTCTGCAGGACTGCTGCTCCCCAGTGAAGCAGCGGCTGCTCTGAGCTGCCCCTCCAGCTCCCCTCGCCGCCAGCCTCGGCCGCCACCCCGAGCGCGCAGCCCCGAGAGGGTGGGCGGGTGGGTGGGTCCGGGAAGCCGTGTTGCACCAACCAGGTTCCTGTGTTTGTCTTCCGTGAAGCGGTGTCCTCGCCCTCTCCGGAGCTCTGGCCGCGTATTTACACACTGTGCTCCGCTCCTTTCTCTCACCCCTCCCAACGAGTGAGGGAATCTAAAACCACTGCGTTTTTTAAATGACAGCTGACAAGCGAGAGAGGTCTGCTTACAGGTGACACTGAATCCGTGTGTTTCCTGTGCCTTAAGGCTGTGGCTGCTCTTTTCAGTCAAATGGAGGTCTCCAGCCGCTACATCACGGGTTGTGTAAAGCAAACGAAGTTTTAAAAGTTTATTCCAGGAATAATGTTCTAACAAGTTAAAACTTCAGGCTTCTTTGTCAGAAGCTAAAGTCATGAGCCACAGACACTTAAACAGCAAAGTAATTCTGAAATAAGCCTAATGCTCTTTTCTCGGTTATTTTATTGGGTTTTTAATTTGCTAGGACTGGTGTAAAGAGGTCGTTTAAACAGCAGATATTTACTGTCTGGTAGTTCTGCAGGCTGATAAGGTCGGTACCTTCTGAAGGATGCGAGGAAAGAACCTGGTAGGAGCTTCTCTGTTGGGTTGTAGACGGTCATCTCTCTTCAGATCACTGTCTCTGTGCACATGGAGTCTCTGTACCCAGATTTGCTCATTTGGTAAAGATATTAGTCATATTAGACTCAATGTTAGTATGATGGCCACTATAAAGACCCTATCTCCAAATAAGATACCATTTTATAGTATTGCAACTTAAGGCCTTAGGTCTGCAATACATTATGAAGTGGGAGGCACAACTCATAACAACCTCCACCACTAATACCACTAATAAGTGTGCCTGTGTGTGTATTAAAGGTGTTGCTATTAATAATATTGTTTAGAAAAATTAAAAGTTATGAGTCAAGCTAACAAAAGAGCTTCAATAACATAGAGGACTATAAAGTGGGTGGTGAAATAGCTGACCAAATCCAACACATATTTGCTGTAATATGTTAAGTAAACAAATGACAAATTAAAATCTGTGGAAGGTTATAAATGCTTAGACAAAAATGTGAGAAGGTCTGGTCATGTATATACAGTTGTAATAAAGTTATTAGCCTACACTTATCATCTCAGCATTCTAAGAGGCTGAGGCAGGGCAAATCACAAGATGAAGCCCAACCTGGACTACTTAGTGATTTATCAATATTCCCTCCGTCTCAAAAATTTTAAAAAAATATAAATAGTTGGAGAGTAGCTCAGTGCAAAGGCCCTACATACAGTCCTCAGTACTGAAAAAAAAAACAAGAAAATTACTTATATTTTAATGATAATAATGATAGTGTAAATAAGAATGTGAATATAAATATGACACCAGTATTTGAGCTGTTAACACATACAGGAAAGCATAAGGCTTAGATGCTGAAACAATTTGTCTCAGTTTGGCACAATTATCAATCACTGGAGGATTTCTAAATATATCAGTGATAGCAAATTTCAGTTGCTAGAAAAATTACAAACAAAAAATATATCCAATTTCTGATAGTATTTTCTTGTTAAGATAGTTTCTTATATTCTTTAATGCTGTAAATTCAGTAGGGACAGACGCGACATACGTTTTTCTTAGAGATAAATTAGTAGTGATAGCAGGAATGGAAGCATCTATGCAACAGATAACCTATACCAAGATCATGCTATATGTAAAATAGTTTCCATAAATTCCCTTTTCAATTTAAATGGAGGATATAGTCACATTAAATAAGAGGACTGTAGAAAGACAAGTCATACAAATCACAGAGATCACTGAGCCTTTCCTTTTCTAACATAAATTTTTTTATAAGAGATCTATCAAGAAAGCAAAAAGATGGGGAAATATAATGCAAATTATTCAGGGAAAGAGAAGTGAAACCCAAAGGCGTAATGAGTCAGTTTGGGTCTAACGTTATATAACCTAGAAACAATCACACTGATGGGAGTATCATGCTTTAGAACCAGACTTTTGATTGGTAAAGGATCAGATGTAAAATTAAAGAAAATATAAAACAAGTTTGAAAATACAAAAGTGGGGTAACAAAAGGATGAAATGTTCATTTCAAGGACCAATTGACACACAAAGCAATGGATGAAATATGGCCTCTTTATTTTTCTGGTCAATATAGATGAGAAAAATTCTAAGACAAATATCCAAACTTCATTATATAAGCCAAGAGAGAACAGAAAACCTCCAGCCACCTAACACCACTTATCCTACTGTTAAATTCAGATAAAAGCTTTGAAAAATGATGATGGAAAACAGGAGGGAAAAGCAGTTGTGGTTTCCTTTGTGGTCTGTGTCCAGCAAAGATTTAAGAGACTGTATGGACAAGACTCCTTGAGAGAAACAGCCAAAATGTTGATTCTTTTCTATTCTGGATTCAACATCACAGACAATTATGGACACTGAGCACTACATCACCATCTAAAATGTGGATTAATCTCACAAAGGTGCACCGTGATTCAGAAAGCATACTTGTAAAATAAAATTTGAACAAATTAACTCAAAGTCTGTTATCGGAATTGTTTTGAAATTATTCATCCTATAAAGGAAGTAATAAGTTTGTATTCATAAAAATAATAATTTTTATCTTCATAAAAATTCCTCCCAGTGAATGATCATAATTTTCTACCCTGCAGATAAGCCCCTTGTGCAAAGCTGAAAACTAGATTAATCAAGATTCCACAAGCATAAGACAGTGAAATTTGTAGTAAATCCTTATACTATAATCCTTGTAATAAAGCTACATTGTTTTGAAATTATTCTCACTTGCCAGCCGCAGCAGCATGCACCTGTAATCTCAGCACTGAGGGGGATGAGGCAGTACGATCGCCATGGGTTGTGGAATAGCCTGAGCTACTCAGAGTTCAAGGTCAGCCTGAACTACAGTGAGATCCTATTTTAAAGGAAAAACAAACAAAAGCAAAAACTGAAAAGAAATTATTCTCACTCAAAAATGTAAATTTTAACCATTTTTAAATAACTAACTTTGTTGTTTTACTCCATTTAATGCTGCCTTGCCAGAATATCTGAGACTGGGTGATTTACAAAGTATAGCAACTCTAGAGGTTGGACCTTCCAAAATAAAGATATACATGTGATGTAAGCCTGCTTACTATTACATCCTCACATTGCAGAAGAGCCAAAGAAAGATCCCCTTTTCCTAAGTTCTCTGCCCTCACGATCCAAACACCTCATGAAAGGTCTCATCACCCAGCATTACCATACTAAGGATCAACATTTCAGCCTTATCACTCAGGAGGACACATTCAGGCCATAACATTTATGCGGTATGAGTCTTGCTACCCAAATTAATTACTTGCGATGATTTTGGAAAGATAGACTTACATATGATGAATGTATAGACTACTAATTTTAACTCAACAACTTGATTTGTAAGGAATGTATGTTGCATTTCTTGTCAAGGTGTAGAGTCGCTTCATAAAATTATGGCATGACAGATATGCAGCCAATTTGAGCTTACTTTACACTGGGAAAATAAATGTGCATGTGTGCTAAGAAAAAGGCATTTTAGCTTCAAAGAAAATATTTTCCATGCTGATGTTGACTGATAAGCATTTTTAAAAATAGGAGTTGAAAATAGCTTTAGTTTGATGAAAAATTCTGAATCATAGTTTTCTGCATCAGCCTTTCATTTAAATAGAAGATAGATTGATAGATAGATAGATAGATAGATAGATAGATAGATAGACAGACTTTAGATTTAGAAATCATTATTTATAACACACAAGTCATGATAACTTCAAAAGGGGCATATTCAGTAATGTTTACTGGAGTGGCTCCCCCAGGAAATAAATCTACTTTTAATAATCTACTTTCTTGTTGTTCTTGTTCCTAAACAGGTCATGAATGCTAGATAAGGCTCTTGACCAAAAAATTATAACACATAGTTTTAGTACTTCACTACCTTTCCCTAGTATGTCTTGCACATATGACTTATTCCTATAGGTCCCCTCTCTACATTTTCATCATAACATCCCAATCATAGAAGAGATTTATGCTTCGAAGTCCAGCAAACTATCCTATGAAGCTTTTTTAAAATACAAAGATTCTGATGCAGTTGGCTTTGTGTAAAACTTGTGTTTGTAGAAATCATCCTAAATTTTATTGTCTATAAGAATTGGATTAAAAGAAATTTTTATAAATATGTTGCACCATCTCCACAGAAAGAATGCAAGCATTATATACTGCAAATACATACTAATAAAAATTAAGAGAAACCCATCAGGGAGAAAATGTACTTTAATAAAAATTAAAAATTTAACTTAAAAATATTTTAAAATATCACAAGACATTCAGGTGAACATTTCACAGGCAGTATGTATTAGGGTGTCTTGGTTACTTTCCTCTCATTGGTGGGACAAAATAGCTGATACCCAAAATGAATGAAGGAAGGAAAGGTTTATTTAGCTCACTGTGAAGGTTCTGAGCATAATCAGCTGGCTCGAAGGCAGATGGCACTTCACAGGGGCAACACTTCAAGGCAGCAGCCAACAAAAGCGGCCAGAGCAATATATATATATATACATATATTTTTTTTTTGAAGACAGAATTTCACTAAGTCCCTGAATTGCCGAGGACTCCAATGTGTGTTACTCCTGCCTCATCTTGGAATTACAAGTATGTGCCACCACTCCTGCCTCAGAATTAGCTTTAATGACAAATTATGATGCTAGGTACTATATACCTATGTATGTGGGTGTATATGCATATATGTATACATAGTTACACTGTCCATTACAGAAATATTGAAATAGTCATAGCTATTGAAACCAAATAAGTTTTTAAATAGTAAATTCTCTTTCCTGTTTGGCAAATGATTGTCAGAGTAATGAGGAAAATATTATTAGTAATTGTAGAAGTCAAAACTTACCTAGTACTTAAGTAGAAAATAAGGTGTCAAAAAC